GCAATAGCAGCAACAGCAGCAGCAGCAGCAGCAACAGCAGCAACAACCAGATGGTCGTAGACGAGGGAGATGAGCTCCAGAACAAGAAGCGCAGGTTCCAGCCCCAGGAAGAACAGGCTGCTACTCCTGCTGCAGCAGCAACGCATGCAGAAGCATCAGCCGGAGGTGCAGCTGCAGCAGCAGAAGCTGCAGCAACAGAAGCTGCAGCAGCAGAAGCTGCAGCAGCAGAAGATGCAGCAGCAGCAACAGCAGATGCATCCGCCAGTACAGCTGCAACAAAAGGAGCTTCAACAGCAGCCTATAATTCAGAAGAACCCCCAGAAGTTGCCACAGCAGCAGCAGCAGGAGGAGCAGCAGCAGAAGGAGCAGCAGCAGCAGCAGAAGGTGCACCAGCAGCAGCAGCAGCAGCAGCTGCAGCAGGAGAGGGAGAAGAGAGCGATGAAGAGGGTGTTTCGAGCCATTGGTCTGATGGTGAGATTGAAACTTCTAAATATCCATTGCAGCTGCTGCTGCAGTTTGTGCTGCAGGATCGAGTGCTGCGGGAGAAGTATACATCTTGCTGCTTCAGCAGCAGCAGCAGCAGCAGCAGCAGCACAGAGTATCCATCTATTGCTGCTGTATCTGCTAATCGTGGCAGCCAGACAGGTTTATATATGATTGATGTTGCTGCAGCAAACGCTATTGAATCTATCGTTATATCTCTAGAAACAAGCAAGATGCAGCCATTCATACAGATGGAGTGGTCGCCGCGTAGCTGCTGCGGTATACCTTTGGGTGTATCTATATCTTCTTTATCTGCATTAGGTGCATGCACGGGCTCTGCATGCAGCAGCAGCAGCAGCAGCAGCAGCAACACTCTTATAGCGCTCGAAAAAAGACAAGGATTGCTGCTGCTGCTGCAGCCAAAGAGAAGAAGAATATGGGATCTGCTGCAGCCAAATTTTGATAGAATTGATAGAAATGTTGAAGCAATAGAAAACCCAACAGAATTCGATGCTCTTCTCTCACCACAAGATAAACTCAATGATCCTCTCTATCAGGTCACTCTTGCTGCTGCTGCTGCTGCTGCTGCTGCTGCTGGTTCTGTTTTTATGTGTTTTTTGTTGCTGTTTTTCTTGCTCTTGCTGATGCTGCTGTTGCTGCTGGTTCTGTTTTTTTTGTTCTTTTTGTTGCTGTGTTTGTTGCTGTTGCTGTTGTTGCCGTGCCGTTGCTGTTGTTGCTGTTGTTGTTGTCGTTGCTGGTGCTGTTGCTGCTGCTGGTGGTGCTACTGCTTTTGGTGCTGCTGGTGTTTCTAGTGCTGCTGTTGATGCTGCTGTTGTTGCTGCTGTTGCTGCTATCCATGCTGCTGCTGCTGTTGCTGCTGCGTTGCTGCAGGCGTTGCGTCGATTCATCAGCAGCACCGACCCTGTCACTGGCCTTCCCCCCTGTAGCCCCCCTTTCTCTGTGCCGCCAGTACAAGGGCCTGTAGCAGCAGGAGGAGCAGCAGCAGCAGCAGCAGAAGCAGCAGCAGGGCCGCTGCTCTGGTGCGCGTTTGAGCCTCTATCTGCTGCTGCTGCTTCTTATGCTGCAGCAGCAACGCTAACAGATAACGACGGAGAGACGCAGCTACAGGATCTTGCTGCTGCTTTTGCTGCAGCGTTGCAGGGGAAACCAACAGCAGCAGCAGCAACAGCAGCAACAG